TCTCACATTCAAAGTGCTTCATAACCTACCACCCTCACATACCTTTCCAGTCTTAGACCTTACACTTCCCTTGTCTCACCCCTTCCCACACACACACACACACACATTTTTCATTCCAATGACACTGACCTTGAACAAGACACACCATCTCTTAATTTTGGGCATTTTCATTGGATTTCCCTCATATCCAGAATGCTTTCTCTTCTTATCCCACCTTGTGGTATCCCAGGCTTCCTTTAAATACTAGATAAAATTCCACCTTTTTTAGGAAGCCTGTCCTGATCTCCCTTAATTCTAGCACCTTCCATTTATTATTTCCTATTTATCCTGTATATAGCTTGTTTGTACATGGTTGTTTGCATGTTGTCTTACCCATTAGACTGTGAGCTCAAAAGCTGGAACTGTTGTTTGTCTATCTTTGTATCCCTAGTGCTTAGCACTGCATCTGGCACGCAGTAGGCTCTTCATAAATGCTTATTGACTGACTATAAAAGCAGAAGTAGCTAGTATATGACATGGGTCCTCTGCCTTTTTTCCCCATACATGTAGAGATGCTGTATGCCTTCAAGGGATTCTGAGGTATAGGTGACAATTTGTACCCAATCGCATGAATATAGGTACCTGTTATGGCTATGCTTTTAGGAACTATTGACGTATAATTAGTTGCTTGCTTCCCCAAACTGCAGAGTTATTTTGTCTTCCCTTTCTGTTGTTGATTTCCTTCTTTGCTATTAGAGCATCTGTTGCTTGCCTCTTAATATCTGCTATTGCCACTGCTTCATTTATTCACTCAACAAATATTTATTATGAATGTCCAATATACTAATAGGTCTGATGATATAAAGATGAGTAATCACTCCTGTCTTCTTCCCACTGATTTTCACTTTATTTTTTGTCATGTCTTTTCTCCTGTTGATTTCCCTGTGTTTCACACAAATAACTGGCTTTTCAAAGGCATGGAAGCCAGCTGGGTTCTTTCTATGAATTGCTCCATAGTGTAATGGAGTCCGGAAGACCTGAGTTCAAATTTTACCTCACAGCAGCTGGTAGACTGTGAAAACTGGGGCCCAGTTTTCACATGTGTAAAATGGGTATAATAATACTTGTAGTACCTACGTCAAAGGGTTGTTCTGAAACTTAAGTAAGATAATGATTGTAATGGACTTTAAAATTTAAAGAGACATATAAAGGTCAGTTATTTCGATTATTCTTTCTCTCTGGTCAGTGAACTAACTATGCACACAACGCAGCAGTTGTAATGTTGAGGTCATTGATGTTTAGCTGTTTTTGTTGTTTGCTTCTCAGGGCCTGCTCCTTCCTGCCAAAAATTTGTTATGATTTAATTCTGGTTTCGGAACTGTTCCAGATGTTTGCGGGTGTCAGAAGGCTAGTCACTAATAGCTATTATGGGTACTAATGGTAATTAATCTAATTTATTTCTCTTTTGGACCTGATGAAATAGGCTAATTTTGGTTCATAAAAACATGTTTCGAATTCATTTGAATAACTTAAAAATTCAAAAATACTTCTTCCCCAAACTGGTACATGTATATGTATGTGTACGTTTGAAATCACTTTATATATTGTTTGAGAAAATATATAGGATATATGAAATTGTTTTAGGTAAAGTAAGCTATTTAAGTCTTTGCTGGTTTGAATGGTTATTTTCTTAATATGGGGTCTCAGAAATTTCCATAATTAACCTCTTGATTTTAAAAGGGTTCATTTCCAAGTGATTTCACAAATATGTGCATAAATATAGCCATGAATTAATCAAGAAATGCATCAAATTAAATTTCTACTTTAAAACTTCCATAGTCTGTACTTTCCACATATGAAAAACATCGATCTCTTAGCTGTGAAGAATGTGATCTGTAGGAAAAAATTTTCTCGGAATAAGTGATTTAAGTCATGATTTAAACTGATTTGTTTAAATTAAATTTGCCTACTAATCAAAAACTAATTCTTGTTTTTAAATATTATTCATATATACCAGGTAGATTCTTGTGAGAATCTTCTTACCTTTTTATGGTCTCACCCTATTTTTAGGGTATTATGAGTTGTGCAGTATAATAGCAACAATTTGATTTACTGTTTAAATATGATTTCTTTGCCTTTTTGTAGTACATAATGGCATAATAGAATATAATATAAATATAGAGACAATTCCATATTTTTAGATTATAGGATCCAAGGATTTGCATTTTAGCTCTTCTGAAGGACTATCCAATATCTCAAAAATAAAATACAATTATTAAGCTATTATATTATTAACATGACTATGTTGATAGGTATTTTAAAATATTGATGTTTAGTAATCAAAAATTCCAAAAAGATTTGCAGAATAAATAGGACCTTCTGGATAAATTATTTAATTGGCATGTGTCAACGTGGTTCAAAAATCATAAATAGATCTTGACCAGACTTGTGGGAAAATCTTTATATGAAACTGTCAACAAGTTTATAGTCATTATGGAAAACTTTTGAATTGATGTTTCATATAGATTCATATGTTTCATATAGCCTTTTAGTTATTGAGGTATTCAACATATTTATTGTTAGGATGTGTCCTGATGGAATTGCATCTCATTTTAAGTTGATAACTTTCTAAGAAAAAAGGTCTCCTTTAAAAAAGTATGTGGAACTTTCTGCAATCACAAGCCTTTTTTTTTAATCTGAAAAAAAGTACTTCCTTGGTCTTCAAATTTTCTATATTGAAAAGTTTATGGTTTTAAAAAATGATTGCTGACATAAAAAATATCTTTAATACTGAGTTTAACAGTATAGGGCAGTGGTATTTACATAAAATATTTAATGACTATGTTGATGCACTATTGTTTAAGGATAGGGAACTGGATTTGTGATTTCATTGGAATAAGGAACTTTCAAATGAGTAAACTCCTTGAAGGCCAGCACCAAGCTTCCTGCAAAGGTTCATCATTGATTTAACCAAAATAGTTGTGTTTTAGCATATGTTCTCCAAATCCTTGACTAAAATATAAGGAATCCTGAAGGGAATATCCTATACTAGTACCTAAAGAGAAAAAAGGAGAGAGGCAGAAGACTGAAGAAGACATTCAGTACTCTTGGGGAAAACATAATAAGAAACATCATGCCTCTTCAACTTGCCTGTTTAAGAAATTTCTCAGTCCTTTTCCTTTTGTGTCATCTTTCCATCCCCCAAACAAACAAACAAAAAAAATCTTTTAAAATACAACATGCCCTTTTTTCTTTATTATATGTCCCCTTGGACTTTAAGTGCATTTAGTTTTAACTGTACTTGTTTATTTAGTTTGATCTGTTCTCCATTGTTAGAGAATAGGTTGATTTGGTTAATCAAGGTTTGGTTAAATAGAATATGTGTATTACAAATAAGCTGAATTTTCAAAGAAATAGGATATAATAAATTCACTTAACATTGAAACTTCCATAAACATAATAGCTTACTAATATAGTGTACTAATGGTAGTAGTGGTGTCTGAGGGGAGGGAAGCCTTTTGATTAATAAAAATGGGTAGGCCTAATCAAAATTTGTTATGAAATGCTAAGCTGTAGTTTGAAAATTGCATTTATGTACATGTATTCTGTCACTTTCTCCTGGGGATATGGGGGGACAGTATCTAACTTGGTTCTGTAAAGCTGTTAGTATAAGTTCTAATTTTGAATCTTAATTCTACTTTCATGGAGAAACATCTTCATATGAGCTTTTAATACAGTGTTGCTATAGACTGCATTTTTCACAATTGTTCAGAGCTGAACAGATTGGTGTATATGAATATTATTTCACCATTAGAAATTATGAGAGAACCAGCAGAACAATTTATTCAAGATCAGCAACATTGTAAAGAAAAATAGCATTGAAGAATTCTAATTAATCGAATTACCATCCATGTCTCCAAAGGACCTACCAAATGACAAAGATGTTGGATTATGGTTTCACTGAGATATTGCTTTATCAGAGACTGCCATCTCCGACATGAAATACCTGAATACCCTCACTCTTCTACAGAGATTCTGGACAAATAGGGCATAGACTTTCTTTTGCTTATCTGTATCCCCAGTGCTTAAACAGTGCCTGGCACATAACAGGTGTTTAATAAATGTTTATTGAATTGAATTGTGTTTGCGTATTTAATAAAAGCACTATCAAGTTCCAGTTAGTACAATTGCCATGTAACCATTTATTCTGATGTTGCTTTTGAAGTGGGTTTACAATGTTTGTGTGTATATCCTATCTTTCTAACTAGATTTTAAGTTTGTCTGGGACAGGACTGCTCTTAATTCTTTAATGTCGTCTTGCAAAAAGTCTTAAAGATCTGTTCATTTTTGACAGTGTTTTCTCCTATCCAGTTGAGAAAGTGAACTAAAACAGTTTTTAAAAATCTCAACATATTTGTTAAGACTATTTTACCTAAACTAGGATTCTTCCTTAATTATAGTTTTATTAAATTAGTTTATATTACTTTAGGAAGATGTCTGAGGGCAAATTGGCTAATATTGTTGTGAACTATGTGTACTGCCCTTATCATCCTGGCTTTTTATTTTCTCCTGCCCTCTGAGTAAAAGTGTGTATGCAAATTTGTCTTTGAAGTCATGAGAGCTAGAAGAAGCATTGGTCTTTGACATAATCTTGAAATCTTGTTGTCTTCATGAGCTTGTGCTCAGATATGCTTTCCAGAAGTGGCATTTAGTTAGCACTAAATCATACCAAATCCATAAATTCAAAAATTTCTAAGTTAATAATTAGCTGGGCTACATTTCAGCTAAAAGAATCATTAAGAAACAGGAACATTAAGGGAGAGAAGTTGGTTAAATATTAGGATAAAAAGAAGAAACCTACATGTGGAAAATATGAAAACATTTCACCTGCAATTAATTCTTTAGAATATGAATTATTTTTAAAAGAATATATGATCTGGACAAAACTATTTAATTTTTAAAATTGATTATCCTTTCCAGTGTTCATTGAAAAAGTGCTAAAGAGACTCTATCCTTCTGTTCCAAATCAACAACTTCAGTCTACAACAGAGACTTGTCCTTCAAAACCAGAACTCGAACCAAGTAAAGTCCAGCCTTCAGCAGGTAATGTTATATGCAGACAGTAGTTTTATCTTCAGATATTTTTTTCCTTTTACTACTTAATTATTAACAGCCATCTATTTAATCTTTCCTGATTTGTACTTAATTTATGCATATTTTCTTAACTGAAGTGATTGACTGTTTAAGAAAATAACTTTTAGGTGGTGAGGTATTTTAAGGTCTGAATATGTAAAAATTTAGATCAATAAAATCTAAATTGTTTTTCCAGGTATGATCAGTCACTTCAAGTTTGCTCTAGGAGGTTTACATGTGAAAATGATATATTATTTCTGGTGTGGGGTTTTGTTTTGTTTTTTGATCTTTTAATTTTCATTTGAAATCTACTATGAGATTTCTTTGGTCATTTAAATGCATATGCAATAGTTTATATGGAGAATTTCAATGAGAAAGGGATTACTATAGATGTTGAATTTCTTTAAGTCTTCATTCCTATTTACATATGACATCAAACTATAGAATTCTATGGAGCTTCCTAAAAGAGTTTAGTATAACAGGAAAAAAAAGTAGGAAAAAAAACCAAGGTGATAAAGAATTTCTATTCTCTAGACTAAAATGTATAGATCAAAGCCCCTTGAGTTAGTCCATCAGTACAACTATCTTGTACAGAGATATCCTACCCCCATCTTCTACTTTTCACCTATTTCATGTGTTCCCTTTTTATGTTTCTCCTCCCTCGTTAGAATTTAAGCTTCTTGAGGTCAGGCATTGTCTTCTCAAACTAAGTGATATGCATCCTAGTCCTTAAGAGCAGTTATAAGATGATAGCAACATAGATTTAGAGCTGGAAGAGGTGATTTAATCCAGCCCACTCATTCTATATGAGTAAGGAATTGAATCCCAGAGAAGTACAAAGATGAACCACAAGAAAATACACTGGAATAGACTAGACAAGGGAGAATCAGAATCGATAACCCAGTGTAAACTCAAAAACTTGAAAGCAGTCTGGCAGAAAGTAGGCTTGGAACAACACTTTATGCCATATTATGCAATAAGTTTGCAATAGATATGCGACCTTCATACTAAAAATCATACCACAAAAAGTTAGAAGAGAAGCAGATCATATACATTTCAAAACCACAGACAAAAATAACACATAATTTTCATTACGTGAAACTGAAAGGCTTCTTCACAAACAAAATCAATGCAACAAGGATAAGAAAGGAAATGCTCAAATGAGAAAAAGTCTTTACATCAGATTTCTGAGATAAAGGTTTGGTATGTAAGATACATGTAGACAACTAGCAAATATATAAGACTTGAAGCCATTCCCTGATAGATTCATATAAAAGGATGGGAACAAATAGTACTCAAAAAACATTGCAAATTATTGACAATGATGTGAGAGAATGGTCTAAATCACTAACAATAACAGAAATAAAGATCAAAACAGCCCTGTTTTTTCATGTCACAACCAGGAAATTTCCAAAGATGACAAAAGATAGGAATAGTCAGTGTTTAAGGTGTTGTGGGAAGCTTGGCACACTATTATACTGTTGGTAGAAATGTGAATTGGCACAACCATTTTGGAAAATAATTTGGAATTAGGCAAACAAAGTAACTAAAATGTCCATATCCATTGACCCAGAGAATCCACTCAAGGAATTACTTCCCAGAGATATCCCTCAAGGAGGGATTGGATTGGTAAGAAGAAAGTCATATTTATTATAGCAACACCTTTTTCAGTGGCAAAGAATTGTAAACAAAGTAAACCCCATTGATTGGACAATGGTTGAACAAATCATGGCACGTGAATTAACTAAATATTATTGTGCTATAAGAAATTATGAATGTGATGAATACAGAGAATCCAAGATTTACTATGTTTAAAAAAAAGATGAAATTTGGCCTCAAAGAAGAGATAGAAGAAGATACCTCGCTCTCAAGATACCACCTTCTATCAAGAAGTAAGGGTCCACAGATGTGAGACATCACATACACCATTAGATTCTTTTCAGTATGTTGATTGTTTTGTTTTTCAATTCCTCTTTTTAAAATTTCTTTGTTCTAAGAGATGATTCTCTGAGAGAGGAGGAGGAAAGATAGAGGAGGAAATGTAGACCTTGTAAAAACAAAGATTTCAATAAAAACCTATCTAGAAAAACACAATAATAAAGAATGTAAGAACCTAGTGTTAGTTCTTTAAAAAAAAAACAAAGTTAGAAAGCATCAGGAAAAGAAAAAAGAAAAAAAAAGATAGAATTTTGTCAACTTGCCCTCCCCTGCATGTCTCTGTCTCTCTCTGTCTCTGTCTCTTTGATCAATCTCTCTCTCTTTCTCTCCCTTTCCTCCCTCTGCCCCTTCCCTAGCTAAGTACTATAGTGTCAACTTCAGATTTATATGTCTGTCATTGATTATCTAATACTGATTATTTTAACAAGCACTTTCCAATTATCCCCATGATAATCTATTTATGTTATTTTACTGGCAAATATAAATCTTGATTAAGTAGATTTTTTACCGTGAATGATTCCATATTATTTACAGGATAAAGTATATAGTCCTTAATCTGGTAATAATTTGGAATTAGGCAAACTAAGTAACTAAAATGAACAATATGGATATATAAATAAGTGGCAATGTGTTTTTTACTATGGGAAGTATCTCAATCTAGTCAATAAACATTTATTACGCACCTACTATGTGCCAGGCATTTGATACAAAGAAAGGCAAAAGGTATTCAGTTTTTATCTTCAAGGAGTTTCGATTGTAATGGGGAAGATAATACACAAAAGAAAGCTGAAAAGGGGGGAAGAAAAGAGGGAAGGTACCCAGTAGGTACCTCCAATCAATGGGAGCATTCCCAGGGGCAGATGGTACTGATGAGGTATAAGTTCCAGGGCTGAAGTGATCTTCCAGGATAAAGAGGTTCCTAGGTCATGATGGTGGTGTCCAGAGGAATATAGCTGGGTGGAAAATGAAGAATAAATAAGAATTTGTTGTTGTTCAGTCATTTCAGTTGTATCTGATCCTTTGTGACCCATTTGGAGTTTCTTGGCAAAGATAATAGAGCAGTTTGCCATTTCCTCCTCCAACTCATTCTACAGATGAGGAGACTGAGGCTAACAGGGTTAAGTGACTTACCCAGGGTCACAGAGTCAATAAATGTCTGAGGCCAGATTTGAACTTAGAAAGAGGAATCATCTTGACTCCAAGCCTGCACTCTATATACTCTGTCAACTAGCTGCCCCAAAATTAGGATCTCTTATTTGAATTAAATGATTATTAATTAAAGGTTTAATTGAAAGAATCAACCAGTTTATTACTTATCTATTAGTATTATACATATTTGTATGTTTATATTTTGTTTATTATATATTGTATTTATATATAATGTATATATACTCACATATTCATATATATCTATGTATATGTATTTAGAAAGAGAGGGCCTTCTTCTAGGTTTTGGACAAAAAAAGAAAGAATTTATGATAATGATTACCTGTTCTTGAATTTTTTCTAATAAGGAAAATATTAAGAAACTATTTAGATATTTTCTGTTCTATAAATATCACTGTATTCATTTATCAATAACAATTATATAATAATAATAATAATAATAGCTTTACTCTCCTTCTTAAAATAACAAGTGAAAATCTCCATACTACAAATGTAGACTTTGAAATATCCATGAAAGTTTTTAACAGATAAATTGTAATGGAACTAGAAAATTATAGCAAAGAAAAAGTTTTTCCTCAATCACCTGGATATAACATTGATTTGTAAAAATTTAAAAACAATATTTTTAATAGATGATACCATGCCAAATACTTATAATCTGTATGGTATATGGAATGAAAAGCTTTTGAAATATAAAGACCTTGTGGAAGAAATGGATGCCATGTGGGAACAAGACATGTTCCTATTGTCCCCTGTAGAAGCCTGTCTGCTTCTAGAGCTGTTTCAAAGATTCTTTCAATGAGTCTGTCAAAGATTTGATTATGTCCAATACATTTATTCAGTTACAGAAAGAGATAATTTCATCCACCTGTGCAGCAGTCTAGTCTGTAGAACATTAAACATAAAAGAATAATAGAAGGATAGTAACTTGTCTCAGGAACATTTGTATCTAAACTCCACTGAATTAAGTTGAGAAGAATAACAAGATGATTTGATGATGCTAACTCAGATATTTATATAGCACTTTAATGTTGATAAGGTATGTTATGTACATTATCTCATTAGTTACACTCCTTTTCTACCCAATGAGGTAGCTACTATTATTATTCTTATTTTACATATGACGAAAATGAGACAAGAGATGTTAAATAACTTGTCTGGTCACTTAGATTATAAATGTCTTAAGAGAAACTCAAACCCAGATCTTTCAGATTCTGTCTGGTTCAGCATGTTACCCATTTTGCTATGTTGCCTTCTTAATATTGCCATGTTCTCTTAGGAACTTTAAAAGTTATGTATGCCCTTTTTAGCTTGATTTTCTAAATCCCAGCCCTTTAAGCAAAGTTGTCTTTCTCAGAAACCCTAAGTATTTGATCTTGTGAGTGATGGTTCCTAAGGGACCAGTGAGTACAAATTAATTAGTAAAAGGACTAACACCTAAATATTTGATAGGAAGTGAAGCTAAATATTTCATGAACCTTGCTAGTTAGCTGGCCATGAAAACTATTGATGTGGGAACAGAAAATTTTAGGATTTTTACTCCAACCAGTAGTATTATGTTCCTGTTCTGTTTTCCTTCCGCTTTACTGTCAGGCAAGGGAGAAAGGAAACACAACAGGACATTGGAGTTGATAAGAAAAGGAAAACCCTATAATAACTTCTTTAACAACCAAAGCAGAATGAATAAACCATTTCCCATTTTAATAAAAAAGATCAAAGGTGGAGTTAGGGGAGAAACTATCTGTAAGGGCTTTTGATACTAAATTTCTCTGAAGTCCCTATGTGTATATGAGATCTACATCCTGGAAATAAGCTTTTGACAATTAGAAAATTGAAGGTATGTTAATTTTCCTTTAGTAAGGATT